GGGGGGGGGGGGGGGGGGAGAAGTCAGAGCAATTGGCGCTGGCTGTGTCCGAGAAGAAGGTGCACGGCCGCAATGGACCTGCTCGGGGCCCGGTGCGATTTCACCGGGGGGGGGGGGATCCGTTTGCCGGTCGCGCACCCGTGTATGATCCCTCCGCCCGAGGCGGGAAGCACTCATGCCCCCGAGGAGGGGGTGTTTCGGCAGGCCTGCTCGTGGTTCAGACCAACAACAGGGGCTCCGGCATCCGTCTGCAGTTGGTCCAAAGCCACGACGCTCTCCCCTTTGCCTTCAGCGGAGACAAGGGGAAAACCCCGCCCGGACTCTCTCCCAGCCCCCGCCTCCGCCCCCCTGCCTCGGAGTCATGGGCGTGCTCCGGTCGCAGCGTGCACCCAACGGCACAACGGGAGATGGGGACCCGGAAGGAAGGAAGGAGAACATCCAGGACCAGCCCCGAGGACTGGCCAATCTCGTTGATCTCTCTTCGGAGAATGCAATGGTGTTTTGTGTTTGGAATTCGACCCAACATAGCTGCATTCCACAGCGTAGCCCGGCGCTTGTCGGTGCCCCCTCGCTCGCTGGGCCGAAGATGCCCCCTTTTGTGTGGCGCCTTTTTCTACGGTCACACACAATACCCACGCACATGGCATGGCCCCTCCCCTCCTACGCGCCCTGCTATGTGGTCTGAGGTGCGGAGCAGGCAGAAGGGGGGTAGCCTCATCGGGAGGTCGGGACCGAGGACCAAGATCCGGGTCCGATTGGTGACCTCTCGCGCCAAAACAAACAGCAGGATCCGTGCGCAGCGCACTGGTCGCGCTGCTCCTCCCCTCCAGGGTCAGGGCTTGCGATTGCGACTGCACCTAGCATCGCCTCGCCTCGCCTCGCCTCCCCACTGGCACCCCTTGCGCGCTGTCTCGCCGTCTCCTGGTCGGGATATGTTCAGGTATATTTTTGGGGGAAGAGAAAAGTGGCGCACGGCTAGGGGAGAGCGCACAGTAGACTGGCACTGCGCGCTGCGGCCGACGTGTAGCATGTGGATCTGGGCACGCAGTGGGACAACAGGGGGCAGAGCTTCACTTGAGCGACGCGACGACAACATATGCACCAAACAGAAGTCCCGATATGTGCGTACGTATGTACGTGCGCGCGCGCGCGTGTGTGTGTGTGTGTGTGTGGTTTGGTGGGGAAAGGGGGAAGGAAAAGGCAAGGGGCTGCCAAGGAGGGATCCTCCCCCGCGCCGCTGCTACCTTCCTGATGTGTGTGTGTGGGGGGGGGGGAGGGCATATGCACGTGCGCGGGATGACACGCGAGGAGGGGTATAGTCGGCTAATTACTTGCCACCAATCTGAGAGCCGACCTTGTAGAGGGCGATCTTCTCCCAGTCCACGCGGTTACGAGTAATGGGGAGGGCACGACGCAGGGCCTTGAAGGTGGTGTCACCCAGCTGAGAGTGGGACTGGTTGAGACCCTGCTGGAAGGCCTGCTCGGCGGCAAGGATGGCCTTGACCACAGCGGAGGCGTTCTGTGGGCACGGCCGGGGGGGAAGGGGGGGGGGGAGGGGGTAGTGGATGGGTGGGCAGCCGAGCGGGCAGGCGGAGGGAGAGAGGACAAAAGTAGCATGATAAACAGCGAATGTTAGAGCGGCAGAAATGGGGGGGGGGGGGGGGGAGGGCATGGTGGTGGTGGCGGGGGAATGCACTCGACACGTACCTTGGCATCAGCAACATGGACGTCGGCCTTCTTCTTGGTCTGGAGCTGGACGTTGCCATCCTCGTAGTAGTGGACATGGGCACGCATCTCACCCTTGAGGGAGGAGCCGCTCAGAATCCACTCCGAGCGCCAGCGGCCGTTCCAGAAGTTGCGCGGGCTGTAGCGATCGCTGGCGAAGCAGATGGCCGCACCATCGCCATGGGGGAAGACAGAGACGGTGGCATGGCCATCCGGGTAGTACTCGTTGAGGTAGTCCTTGGCGGCACGCTCAAGCTCAGCGAGGAAGCCGGAAATCGGGGCATGAGAGCCGGAGCCAGCGGAAACCTCCTGCAAGAAGGAAATGGGCGAGGGGAAGGGAGCACACGGAGGCGGGCGAAATAGGGGGGGG